AAAAGAGCAATGTTGCGGCGTACTTCTAGTGACTGAAATGCAAGGTCTTGTTTTATTAGAGTAATACTTGAATGATAGTCGTAGTTTCCGGAGACGAATCTCGCTGCCCTATTCTAGACGGCTTCCAACATACGTACCAAGTAATCTTGATATGGTGACCATGTGGATGATGCATACTCTAGCTGTGGGCGAACATAAGTAATATATGATAATGCGTGTACGTTAGAAGGAGCGTTGCGCAAGTTTTTGCGGAGATATCCGAGAGATTGAGATGCTTTCGATGAGACAGCTGCTATATGCGTAGTCCAGGATAGATCAGATGTAAGGTGAACGCCTAAATATTTGTAAGATGGTGTAGCTGACACAACCGCGTTATTAATCTTATAGTGAAATGCTGAGTTGGTATGCTTTCGAGTGAACAAGATTAACTTGCATTTAGAGGCGTTAAGGGACATCTGCCAAGTTTCGCACCACCGGAAGGTTAGGTCAAAGTCATTTTGGAGAGCGGAATGATCATTAAAACATTTAATGTTGCGGTATATGGCACAATCGTCAGCAAACAACCTAACTGTGGATGAAAGGTTATCGGGCAAATCATTAATGTATATTAGAAAAAGTAACGGACCTATTACACTGCCTTGGGGGACACAGGATGCGACGTTGCAAAGGTTAGATGAAATGTTGTTGATCACCGTAAGTTGCTCACGCGAAGAGAGGAAGCTTCGTAGCCAAGACAGAATAAATGAATCAATACGGAGTGCGGCCAATTTAGAGATTAAACGACAATGAGGGACAGTATCGAATGCCTTGGCGAAATTAAGGCATTCGATTCTCGAGCTTCTTGTCTGACACTATCTTTTGTCTGTATTCTTTTTATTTATCTTCATTTTTGTCATTCACTAGTTTCACCTACTCAACTTTGTCGAGCAGAGTTTGCGGTCAATGCTTGCACTTGCTGTACTCTGTAGTGGGGCTTGCCAAACCATTCCTGTAAGGCCTGCCCCGCCACGGTGGTCTAGTGGCTAAGGTACTCGGCTGCTGACCCCCAGGTCGCGGGATCAAATCCCGGCTGTGGCGGCTGCATGTCCGATGGAGGCAGAAATGTTGTAGGCCTGTGTACTCAGATTTAGGTGCACGTTAAAGAACCCCAGGTGGTCAAAATTTCCGGAGCCCTCCACTACGGCGTCTCTCATAATCATATGGTGGTTTTGGGACGTTAAACCCCCCAAATCAATCAATCAATCATTCCTGTGAGGCCCACCCACTGGGGAATTTTGCACAACGGAGCACAAGTGGCTGGTAGCCTAAACAGCTTGCTGCTAAAAAATTAGGCAGTATTCTCCTCAGTTTGATAGGCAAGGCAAGGTTGTGAATGGCCGGGCTGGCAGCACTCAATGCGCATTTTTTTTTTAACTGCTCCTACCAGGAGTTATGCACAAACACAATGTCCGAGCAGCTTCTTTTTGAAGGCTAAGTGAAGTTTGTTCCCATGCAGTACACCGTTTAATGCACTTTAGAATACTTTTGCAGTTGCTCAGCTTAAATGCCATTTTCAGACAACCTGGCGCATGTGCAGCCACTGCGAGAATGCTCTTTCTCCAGCACAGAGAGGCCTTAGAGAGAGGAAAAGGTTTGTCAGAAGTTTGCTTTGCGAGCCTAGCTAGCTCCGTGCAGCCTCCTCAGCTGGCTTTTGTGTCGTCTTAGGGGAGTCCATTAGCGACAGCATAAAGCGTTGCGATGTTTCTGTCTACCACTTTGGCTGACAACATTAATCTATTTCAAGTGTCATTTCATAGAGTACAATTTTTAGTATTCATTGTATTGTTTATTTGCTAATTTTTAGAAAAACCACTAGAGGTTTTCTGAGAACTCAAAAGTGAGGGCTCTTTATAAAAGCCTCATAATAATTATTCAAGTGCTTGAATGTAAATGCAACTTGCTTATTCGGTGTGCTCCAGGATGTTAAATTAGAAGGTGCTTCGAGATGCCTTGTATATGCATGCACAGCATAAGCGCCACCCACGTACACAAACCCAGTCTCTGTGAACGCTGCAACGCTAGTGACAGAAGGGAAAAAAAAACAGCCACATTTATGCGAAAATCAGCCAGCCTTTACACAAACACAAAAACTTCATGTATGCAACGGTCTGAGAACTGGCTAACCTCCCTGTCCTTCCTCATTTATTCCTCCTCCTCCTTCATGTATGCATAAAACATCCCCTTTGCACCGACACAAGACAAGGCCCTTCAGCGACACCACTGTTCTGATCAGCATGAGTTACCTGAAAACTTGCCAGCAAAAATAACTGCATCAGTGGCACGATCCGAAAAACAAAAAACGCCCGAGACCCTCAAACCTTGAGCAGAGCCTAACCTCTGTATTAAGAAGCATTTCTTCACTTGAACTTTACTTCTCACTGCCTTCAGTGCAGCACAAGTGCATTTTGAGCTCGCACTGTTTTCAGGTGGTGTCAAGACAGCATAAATGTGTTTCAAACACGCTGCCTTGAGACTGTGGCAAGTCAGGTTCAATTCAATAAGCGTTTATGAATATGGTGGTACTACTTGCAGCAAAGCTATAAAACAACAGCAAGTGTATAAAAAAAACAACAGAGGCAAAAAAAGTGCAACAGGTGAACAAGCAGTGAACCAGTAGCACACCAGCACACTGTCGACAAAACACCAGATGTTTGTGTTAGCCGTCTGTACATGTGAACCTATCTTAGATTGCTCAATAGCGAATGACTCTGTGTTGAGCTCACATTCTAAATGGGAAGCATTTCTTGGCGAACTTCAACGACTTTGACTGTGTTTTTTTATCCATCCAACCGTCCGTCCATCAGGGTGTCTACCAACCTGGAAAAGTCGGGGAATTTTGAAAAATCGGGCCTGGTCATGAAGACTGACGGCAGTCTGTGCAATCGTCACAAACATAGACATTACCATTGATCCAAGCTAAAAAAGCCTCTCTTTCAGCTGCAATTACAGTGAGCAGCAAAAGGATGCATGAGAAAAATCAAAAGCAGTGCGTAGCTGTTTCATAATATAGACGTAAAAGAATACACCCACCAAAGAAATATAAAGTCTACTGGTGTTTCCGAACCTGCTATGGGAGTCTTGTTCACAATAATAGCCATGAGAAAGGCACAGGGTATTTAATTACACCTAATTATGTGACATAAGCACCAACACTACATTGTTGGAAGTGTCCTATCACTCCTGTTCAGCGTAAGTGCAGTTGTATATGTGATGGTATTCCAAGTGCAGGCAGATGAAAGCTTTTTTTTTTTCTTGCCAGAGCACACGCGTCTGACCAGTCAGTTTGGTCGCCTATAGAATACACATGTTTAGCGAGGACATATGAAGTCATGCGTTGTTTCCTGACATCATATTCGTATTGTTCAACTCTTCCCGTGAAACCAGTGGTCTCACCAATGTGATAGTTGTCACAATTGTGGAAACCTGAAGCATAAAAATAAAAAAGACCGTGGACAGTTTCAGTCTAGGACTTGTCCTTCATGTTGTCTAAAGCATTCCTTAGCTTCCATGTTGGTACATTCACTATTTTGATGTCTGTTGCTTCCACATATCCCACAGCATACCTGTCTCTCCAACCACTACATTATACTTGTTGGTAAATTTGTGCATGTTTGTCTTGACCATAATTTCGGCTAGCTTGAAGGCCTTCTGGTTCGGATAGAACTGCCATTAGCAGAGGCTTGCCAGGCTATGTGATACCTTTTATTATTGTTATTACTATCATTATTATTATTGGTGGTGCAACAGCAAACGTCCTCAGCTATGCACTTATTTCTGATAGCTTGCACTTCAAAGGTAGAGTTGGGTAACTTCATCTAAATTTTTTGTTTCAGTTTCCTAAGATGATATTGTTAAGTCTGTGATTAGTTTTTAGTGTTATGTCCATAGAAGAGTACACAAACGAAGGTAACCCGCCTGCATCTGTCATAAATCTGTGGAATCGAGGGAGCTATTGCAACCAGACAGATTACTTCTTGCCAGCGCATATTTGAGTGCCATCGCTTTAAACGCTACTCCTAGCTTTCGTTGCAGGCATCCGAGGACACAGCCCAGAGAAATAACAAATCAACACGTATGTGCTCGTCGTGGAAAAAAGAAAGAAAGTATGCATTGCGGCTCCGTTCTTGCAAAGTTGTTAGTCCTTGTCAACGCATGGTGCGCAGAATACACAAGCAGTATATAATTATTTTTTTGCTGAAAAGTATATATTATAGGTGTACAGTTTAGGTGGACATGCAAACCAATACTAAATACAATAATCCACGTCGCATCAAATCCAATTCAATTAGCATCCTAAATAGTAAAGTCAGTTAATATAGGTCTATGTAATATATCTTAATCCACCTCTTAAGTGGCCTGGCCTGTAACCATTATAGTGAACTAGAATATACTCCAGTGACGGAACCAGCTGGGCTCAGGCATCCTCTTTTTACACAGATGCCACGAAATGGTGCCACTTCTACATTTCCTAGCAGCTTTGATTGCCTTGTTGGACTATCATGGGCTTCTTCAAACTTTCAACTGCGATTAATTTTGACTCGTGTGTTTGCATCCTGCCAAACAGCCAACTTGCCGATTCTCTGGCTCGGAGGTGTCATTTTGGCCAAATATACATATTTTTATTTACTGCACGTGCTCAGACATTCGGAGCACGTGTGATACATTTATTAGCTTATTCTATAGGATTGCCTGATTTTTTTTTTTTACCATTCGTGGGTCTGTTTCCAGTGCAGAGAGTTTTCCAAGCAGATGTAACGGTCATGGAGTTTGCTTTAAATCATCATGGGAAACCTGAAAAAGTCGGAGAATTTCGAAAAAGCTTATTGGTAGACACGTTGCTCAGTTTTTTGCCTGACCTTTGTGACATGGTATGGGATCACACATGGTGCTGCAACCATACCTGAATCTGCTCTCAGATGATTAGCCAAGCAGCTAAAGTGATGATGTGACGTTTCTTGCAGAGTCTCTGAACGACAAGTGAGCCTTTACGACAGCCAGTCGCTCTCAGCCCCCCTGACAACAGAGGGCATCGATGTCAGCCCAGCCATACTGATCCCCTTCTATGACGAGGACAGCTCAACACTGTTTCTCACTGGAAAGGTGCACTCTGCCTCTCTCTTTTTCTTTTTCCAAATACGTAATCCTTTCTTGGTGCTGTGGCATGATCAACCAGTGAGCAAAAAAGCGTGTTGTGTGAAAACCAGTTCTCTTATTGAAGCTATGTTCTACCTTACATTTATCATCTGTTTATGTGTTTGGTACAAACCTATTGCTTCTTAAATGGCTACATTTAATCTTCACAGGATTATTTTCACTTGTTTGTTGACATTGAAGGCCACATCCTGCCAACTGTTACAATGCATACAAAACAAACTGTCTCGTCCCTGTTGTAGCGTTTCTGCTGTACACCCTCAAAGATGCCTCACTTTGTTCAGTTATATTATCATTTATGTTTTATTTCGTATTTCTTTACTGCTTCCCCACATTCCTCGAGTTTCTGTCTTGCTAATAAAAAGTTTTAATAACTGCGATATGGCAGTTTTTTCTTGTTCATAGCTTGTATGTACATTTTTGTGTGCAGAGTTAGCAATCGAGAACTTGAGGAAGCGCAAGTTCAATGACAAAAGAGTGCCTCAGTACAATTACCGTATTTGCTAGCATAATTCGAGCCCTTTTTTTATTATTTTGGGTCTACGAGAGGGGGGGGGGTTGCAAAATATGCGGGATTTCTAAAACACATACGAAATAATAAGCGATAGTACTAACACGTGCAGTCTGCACACATTAAGAGAAAGAATCAATTGGAGCACAAACGAACAGCACTTGTTTCTTTAATATAATTAGCACATGCTTTAACAAGTTAGATTTGGTAGCACGCCGTCTAGTTATAATTGCTGATCAAGAGATCCAATTGGGAATCATCGTTGTGGCCGCTGTCACTGCCTTCCCGAATCGCATCATCCTCTGTTTCGTCGAGCTAGTGCACTCTTCTGCTTTCTCCACCACTGATCGCGATGATCATTACACGTTAAAGAACTTCACACTGAAGTGTTCAGTAGCGGCACGGTTCCCAATTTCTTTGGGCAAACCTGGTAACGGCGAGCTTAAATTTGCCGTTTATGTAAGTATTGTAGCCCACTGCAATGGAACAGTAAAAATGCGATGGACGGATGGTAAAACCTAAACGTCCGAAATCGACCAAGCGCGCTTCGCAGCGTGGATGCAAAGAATGAGGGGTACAGTTGGTACGACAGGGCAACAGGCTCTCGCACGCCTTCTATGCAATTGTCTGTGACGGTGAGAGAAATGAGGAGATAGAGAAAGGCAAACTCTAGATTTTCGGCAACAGGTTTGAGGATTTGGGTATGGTACTCTAGGGGCCTTAATTCAGAGGAAATTCTTGGAAGAAGGGACTTTGCACTCACAGCCCAGTTGACTGTGCCCAGTGAGGCGTGCACCCAGCGACGTGTTCAAAGCATTTAAAGATCCAAAGTCTCCTTGTTCACGCGCCGGCAAGCTGGCCCGGCCCGGGCAGGTTGGGGAGCACAAAGTATGTGAGTGATATTTTTTTAGTAATGTTGGCATAAGATTAGAGGTGTTCAAATTATGCGAGGGTGCAAATTATGTGAGTAAATACAGTGATCACGAGTGCTCAAACTACGACGTATAATATTTGAGTGGATATCAAAATGGAATGAAATGAAACTTCTGCATTGCACTCTGATTCATGCAACAAGGTAACTTATTTACCTTACCCTTGAGAAGTGCACAAGCTTTGTTTTTACCAGGCTGTGCTCTGTTAAAGCCTTTTATTCCATTAAAGAACTTTGCTCTATTGCTCTGCTGTGCCGGGTGTTGGGCAGTAACGCGATTAAAGGGCAGGTTTGCAGAGTCGGAACACCATTCTCGGAGGCGGGCGGGTCTAACTGCACTAACAGTATGGAGATCACTGAAATGTGATTTTCCATTCAACAAGCGTTTTCTTGGCATTTAAAAAGCACCACGAGGTTCCGTGAATGCTATTTCAACAATCTACATCGACTATGCTTCAAGCCACTACTTGCACCTTTGTTCATCTTTAAAGCAGCACTAGTCTGATTGGAGACGAACGTGATGTAGAGTTCTTGCAACATTTTTTTTAATACAGTAAAAGCTCGTCCATTTGATGCTTGTTAATCTAAAAAATCAGTTGATTTAAATGTGCTTCTTATTTCCAGCAAGTGGGTGCATTATTTGATGGCATCAATTTTTCTTTGATTCTGTCATATGAGGACGTAACCTGTTAATTTTGATCGTCCTCGGAGTGCTTTGAGCGCGAAGCATTGTAAATGTGCTACACAAAAGAGTAAAAATGGTGTTCACAAACAACGTTAACTGGGCAGCCCTATCTACATCGCTATCTTCATCAGCTAGTCATTTACAATTAACCCTTTTCAATTAGCTCATTTTTCGATCGTTCTTGTAGACGTGGTCAATTTAATTTTTGTATTTATTGAATACTGCCGAGAGAAAACTGGTCCAAGGAGGACAGGTATAAAAGGTAGGGTATAAGAACTAACACATGTGATATCATATGAATGTATCACGAGATATGAAATGGAAACACGTGCTAATGGTACTCATAAAATATTATATGGTAAAATATTACCCTCCCCCCATTACGGCCTGTCGTATTGTTTTTCTTTCTATCTATGTGGGGAACGTCTTCCGTCTTATCTGTGTGCCACAGCGAGGTTCACGAACAATGTGAGTGTAGACATCGCAGCTGATAAGCACGCAGCCAGCGACCTGAGGTCATGAAGCTACCCGCGCCAACCGACGATCGCTTTCTGCGAATACGAAAAATCCCAACCATGTGCACGCGATTTTCGAGCGGCGATGACAGGATTTGCTGTCGCGAAGGGTTATTCGTCGCTATTGCGTTGCAGGTTTCTGAAAAACCAGAAAAAAATAGCTTGTTGTCCTTAAAAAACTGTGACAATTTTCGCAACTTGGTAGCACTCCCGATTCTCGCTTCGCTTGTTATCCGCGCGTAGGGGAACTTCCCATGTAGAAGCGAGGCAGCGGCTGTATTTTGTTGTTAATCTTGTTATTGATGGTTTGTTTTAATGCTTCAGGGGTAGCTCGCTGCGATGCTGGTTACTTGCTACAATGTTAACGGTGTCGTAGCATTGTAACACAGGCTATTGGCACCCCTTGAGATCACAGCAGATATTGCGGTTAAATGATTGTGAGAAAAGATAGCCGCAAAACGCTTTTACAGTGTGCGCGAACGGCCGGGGGACAGCTTGCAGAAGATGGCGCCAACAACCACCGAAAATGAGTAAAGTGCAACAAAGAAGCTGTTTTCAAACAGTGTACGCGTATGTCAATTTTGAAAAGCTAAGCAACCTAACTTTTTTTTGCATTACTGCATTTTTTTGCTCCTCTCGAAAAAGTTTTTTTTTTTAAATTTACCCCACGTAAGAAACGCACCCCCCAACTTTGCTCCTATTTTTTTAGAAATAAAGGGCCTTCATTACGTGAGTAAATACGGTAGTTAATGCCCGATTTATCTGACTTCCTAAGGAACAAGAAATCGTCCAAAAAAGATTCATGCCTCTTTATTCTGCTCAAGTAATCAAATCCCCACAGCCCCATCTGAAATAGCTTCAGTGCCTCCTAAAGTACACTTATCAGGCATTTTGGTGCACGCCCAGGCTGTTGTGAATACATTCAGGACCTGCGAACCTTAATTTACAAATTTACATCGCGTGATGAGCGCCGCCAATACCAGAAAAGCACGAAATAAATTACGGCTTTTTTGCAAGTGGAAACGATGTCGCAGAACATAAAGGGTGTGGCAGAGTAGAGGAATACTTGTATGGACCTCTCCAATACGTGTGCGCACTTAGAAGATGCGCCACTGTACGAAAATCTCCGTTGACATGTAGCATTTGCTGCCACACTAGACTGATTATATTTAGTTGTGTGTAACACATCGTTCTTACCAGGGCGTTTTCGTGGACACGTGTTTGTCACGAAAATGTGTTCTTAATGCACACTCCGTTTCTGATTGAACATGGGTGCGGCGTGTGGGAATTGAGGCTAGCCCGCTGCCTTTGCGCGGGCTTTGCCGCCTTTTCTGCCATTCTCATGTCCCGACATGTCTGCCCTCCTTTGCTGTCTGCCGCGCTGGGAGAGCGGAGTGACGTTTAACCCCCTCACCCGGTAGCGGATGTTGACTGTGGCGCTGCGCGCGGAGTCTCCCAAGAGGTTTTCGCGTGCTGCGTCGGGAGCGGGCAGATAGATACTCTCCGGGACTGCAGACGGTGAGCCACGCAATATTTTCCGTCCGTCGACTCCCGTCGCTCGGGGCTCATCGGACTTCGCTGACGGCGCCTCGCGCCCGAGGCGAACGCTCACCTTTTGTTGCCCCACTGCGTACGCACGGCCGAAGGGTGGTACGGTGTCCTAGTGCGTGGCCTAGCTACGCCGACTTGTCTCCCTCCGAAGCCAACGCGAGTGCCTTTGCCCTCGTTCGAGCAACCGGGCCTTGGTCCCGGTGTCTCCGTGGATCACCTTTACCGCGGAGACGTGCTCGTGGCACCCTGTGTAATACTTTTATGCCCGTGGCGTGGATAAGCCTATTTGCTTTCCCGCCGCGCCTTTGCAATGGGCTGTACTGCGTTTGGTGGTGCCACAGACAATAAAGTGTCGACTTTGAGAGCAGTATCGTGTTCTCGCCACGGCAACGGTTAACGCGTGCCCTGCGGCTTGCCAAGACTGGACCCACGCTAGTGGCCGTAGTCCTTCGGGATACGTGTGCACTACAGTATGTATGTTTGTATGTATGTATGTATGCATGTAAGTATGTATATATATACGTTATCGCCCACAGTTCCACCTTTGCAAACTGCCCACTACTTCGTCCTTGCAAACATCTCGCTACACTTCATCACCGATCCACCACTTACTTCCCCGACCATAAAGCAAATACTGTTGAGAAGTAGCCAACATGAAATGCAAGATGATCGTGTACTTGTATCCAGGTGCACATTAAAGAACCATAGATTGTCCCACTGTGTCCATCTCTTGCTTGTACGTGATTGCCTATAGTTTCACCTTTGCAAACTTCCCACTACTTCGTCCTTACAGACATTCCACTACGCCCTATCACCGGCCCACCACTTCACCGTTATAAAGAAGTGGGAACGGAAGCGACGTATAGCTTATGAATAATAAAATTTCTTAAATATATACAGTGTTTGTCACGTATTTCACGATGTAGTGGGCGATATTTGCGAATGGTTCACAGTTTAGCGATGAAACCCTCCAGCGCTTCGCCCCTCTCATTATGATTCACTCCGTGGATATGCTGCGATTTTTGTCTGCTTCAACCTTTAGCACTTAGCATTGCGGCAAAGCAGACTTTTGTCTGCTTCAACCTTTAGCACTTAGCATTGCGGCAAAGCCGACTTTTGTCTGCTTCAACCTTTAGCACTTAGCATTGCGGCAAAGCCGACTTTCGGATATGCTGTGATGTCGAATGACTCATGTAAGCGCTCGTTTAAGCCTATGAGGTCATAGACAAAGCAGAGGTGGGGACTTTATGCTGTTTTAGAGTGGGAATGTCGGTTGAAAACGCAGAAAAGTGGAAATCAGTTTCAGCGTCATAAATTTCAGACGCTTTTATACATAGACGTTCAGGGCTTGTGATGCTGTCGCGAAATCGTCCGAATTTTCAGGCACATCTGCAAAACTTGGTGTCCGAGAAATCGGCAGTCAACTGGTCTTCAGTCACATTATAATAAGGTGCTATGGTTTTAAATTTTATCATTGGCTTTGTCTACTAAATATGGTCAGGTTATCTGTCAATGATATAATTCTTTTTTCTTTTATACTCTGTTATGCTTGATTAGCATGCAGCACAGCGTGTTTTTATCATTCGTGTGTCATGAACACATTATTAAAAAGATGGCAGGAAGGGGTAGATAAAGGCTTGCGATGAAAAATATCTGTAAACAGAAGTTGTGTCGGGCCGACGTTTTGACAAGCAGACAGAAGTGTTCTGTTATAGCCTTGAGGAAGACAGGTACACTTGTCGAAACATCGACTTGATACAACCCTTGTTTACACAGTATGTGTCTTAAAATTGATTCTAGTAATATCCGCTCCAAAAGCCAGTAGCATCACTGGTTCGAGACCGCCATTGGCAAATGTAGCGCGCCGCTCCGCGCACGCTCATCTAGTGAAGCGTTTAGCGATGCGGCAAAGCAGACAGTATTCGTTCTAACAAAACACAAGCTTCATTGCCTTCGGTGGCACCCCAAATCCAAAATACAGTACAACGTCCACTCCCGGAACGTGAGGAGGAAAGGGCTCCCACATGAAGACGAACACTAAAACAGGCAACCACGAGCATGTCACCGCTGGCAATGGCGAGCTTTGACACGTTGGTCGGGAAAAGGTCCTCGCGGCTATTGATGCCCTCTACCCTGATGACCACTGTGCCTGGTAAGAGAGCTAGGGCAAATCTCGTGCACATAAGCCTCCAGCAAGTGCAGCTCATCGAAGTATGACCAAATGCAAGCACTATGCACCACTCTTTGGCTTATTGCATAAAACCGGAGTTAGCACAAAGGTAATCACGCCCTCTGAAGGCTCCTAGGCAACCGGGCAGGCTTCAGTCTGACGATTCCCAAAGGGGACACAGACGAAGGTAAACACGTGCTTACTGTGCGGTGCCCATGAGGAGTGAGAGCGTCCCCGGTACACACGTGACTCAGTCTCGCCAACACTCGCACCCTGAGAGCACGCACTGCATAGAGCTCCTGAAACTTCACGAAATAGCGAAACGCTTCTCCTCTGCTCTCATTTCTCCTTGGTTTTTTCACCTTTGCACTCTCTTTTTGAATGTGGCATCACCTGCATTGTTCATGCGTAGTGGACGTCCATTTCTCGGAGAGAGCACTTGCTTGCTTGCTTGCCAGGCAGCGCACTGAGAGCATTCAAGCCAGCCATTTAACTCGTCCAAAAATTGCCTAAACGAGTTTGTTGTTGGCCCATGACAGCTCTGTGTAGTGTCGCGCAGGGTATACATACAATATTGTAGCGATGCTGAAGCACACAGACTAGTCGAACAAATGTATTTATTGCAGCCAGGGCCAGTAACAAAGGCTAAAGGAACCTTGTCAGGGACACCTGTAGAACAGGCTGTCACGTTTTTAACAAGTAACTGATTTCACAGTCATGGTGATAAATAGTCTTTTTTTAACAATTTGTGAAGAGCACTCTGGTAGCATCATCGACATGTTGTGCAGGGGGACTCGACCATCTTTGCCTTTGAGGTTGCCCTGGATGCACCCTATTTGTTTCCCCTGTCACACTACAAGTGCCCAGGGGGGCCCCACCAGGCAGTGGCCTTTCTGCCCAAGTTGGCCTGCCGTGTGGCTGAAGTGGAGTTTGCTTGTGCCTTCAGGCTGACCACAACCAGCGTGGAGCCACTGTCATTCAGAGTGCCAAGGCTGCGGGTGAGTTTCATTCTAAGCTCGTTTATAAGGCATTCGGCACCTGTTTCAACATGAAAAACCTCCATTGTGCCAAACTCGAGCCAAACTAATTTACCACCTTTTATGTCCTCTTTGAAAACTGTCCTTGTTTTGTATCTATGAAATATTTCACCATATTTACTCCAATCTAGGCCAACCTCGATTCCAAGCCAACCCCCTCATGTCCGAAGCCCCCCCCCCCCCCCCCCCGAAAAAAAAAAAAGCTTACCTCGAATGTAGGCCAGGTGAAAAGCAGACAGCATTCACAAAGAGAAAACATGTCCGTGTATAAAACACGGACATGTATAAACACTGACATAGAAAAAGCCCGTGTATAATCTCTGCAGGCGATCCTTTAATGGCTTGTTAATGGAAACATCAAGTGGTTGCAATTGGCCCGTCAATCTACTCGGTATTATTGTGAGGTCGGTGTCCATTTCAGCCAACGCAGCCTTGACGCTGTGGGTAAAGTGCCTGCGGTAAGAGTCCAGCACAAGGAGAGAATGCTTGCACAGAAGCGCACCTGGACGTGGCCGCCATACGATATTCAGCCACTCATCGACCATGGCCCTAGTTATCTAGCCATTCTCATTGACCCGCACAATTACCTTTCGTGGGAAGGCCTCTTCAGCGGGTAGCGTCTTCCTCTTAAAAACAATTTAAGGAGGGTGCTTGTGCCCATCCGCTGTGCAGCACAGCATCACAGTCGCACTGTTTTTCATAGCCGGCAGAGCGCACCTTCACTTCCTTGGCCTCTTTTTTGGAGACTGTGTACCCCACCAGCATATCATAATACACGGGGGTTTGGTCCGCGTTGCCAATTTAGCCTATCAGATACGCTCTCGCTTCTCTCTTTCAAAGCACGAAACACTGGAACTCGAGCAACTTCTCTTCATAGTCAGCCGGTAATTTTTGGACGATTGAGGTACGAAGACTGAGGCTGGAGGCAAAGCGCTTCATGAATTTCTGCAGCCAGCCTAAGCTGGCTTTGAAGTCTGCTGCTGAAACTCCTTGCTTCCTTGAAAGCTCCCCTGCCTTCGCCTGGAGCACTTCCTTTGTCAATGGAAGGGCAGCTGCTTGCTGCGTCCGAACGAAGTTAGCCCAAGCCGTCTTTATTTCAGGGTGACTAAAGTCCCGCCCAGCTTGAACAATGGAGGACGACTCCGCGGCTAACACAACTTTCCTTTTATATGCCGCACTATAATGACTACGCTTTTTCGGCACCATTGAGCTACGCTACGCGCAACCCATTCGAAGCGAGACTCAAACTGACGAAAGGCTCGCCTCAACACTCGCCATGAACATAAAAATGGCGGCCTCCCGGGTGTACTTAAAGTGTCCTCTAATGCTTGAAAACATCGGTGCTAATTGCATAACTTGAAGTGGCGTTCGCCAGAACTATCGGGAGTGGAAATGACACCAGAAGGTTGTCGTCATGTGATTGGATAAATGTAACGTTAAATGTGATTGTGGCATTGCATCAATATAGGGATTAGTACTAAGGAATTTTTTTTTCTTTAGCATGATTTTTCACTTAGAGTAGAAGAGAATAAAGCTCTTCGACTTTTTCAGCTTGAAAACTACAAAGCTGGTCAAAGAATGCGCCGAACGCCACGGTGCTGAGGAAACGGGCCGGAAATGCTCCGGGTGCCGTTGTTTCAAGAAAATTAAAGAAAAAAAATGTAAAAGCGATGATATATAGACGCCATTGCAAAAAAAAAATCAGCTATGCTACAAAACATTATAAAAGCGTTCGCGAGCTGCCTCGTCGCGCGTGTTGTTTCTTCTTCAAAAACCACGTTATTTGTTATCATCGCAACGACGTCCTCAATACGTTGGACATAACAGGCAATATGTCATGTGAACTTCCTATATGGCAGAGCTTTCAGTTCTTTTCATTGGCCAGCCTTCCGACGTCACAGGGCAAGGGAAAGACTGATGCCTCAACGTGCGGTTGCGAGAGCACAGCAGCTCTTTAATAGGAAGGCCGTTCACGCATCTGGCGATGCATTGCAGAGGATGCGATCAGGGTAACTGTAAGCCGGTATTTGAGCAGACAACCGTAATCTACAGGCACAGGGGCTCAGGGGAGAGGGAGATTATAGAAGCCCTCTTTATCCAGAGGGAGGGGCATGATTGCATCAGCCACCCCTCTATCAGTCTGCAGGAAGGGGAGATAGCCTATCTGCAACGTTACTTATAGGCATGCTGAGCATGTATTTTTAGTTTTTGGTCGATTCATTGGGTTAAAGTTGACGTCACTGCGGTATAAATGGTGTTTCCTGAATAAAATATTCCAGTTGCTAGTAGCGCGTCGTCTGTGTACTTCTTCTCTGTTGTGTGTCGTTTTTTCGCGCCCCGTATCATCATAAAGACTGATCAGGCGAGCCCGCGAAAATCTAGTTGAGGGTAAGCATCTATTTCATTGTATTTTGATATCTCTACACCGAATAACTTTGTGCTGCGTGCCCCTATCACTTCCGTTCTTGCAGGACTTATTTCTTGAGCCGTCAGTGTACACGACCAGCTAGAAAAACATGCAAAACTATGAGGTTGTGAAAAGTGTTGAGGGCCCCTTTAAGCCAGGTGTTGGCTCGGCTACTAACGGCTATAATACTATCTAGGTGGCGCTAGTTTTGCATCATTTTTCTCGATGAAAAATACCACATTTTTCAAAATCCTTGAATCTAAGGAGGAGGAGGAGGAGGATTGAAAGAGGAAGTACAAGGAGCTCAAATCTAAACTGACCCTGGAGTTAGATACAAAAAAATTTTGAAAAAACTATCGGCCTAGATTCGAATAAATAGGGTACCATTGCCCTTATTTCTATGATTATATCATATCTACTTCTTTTTCTTCTCATTCATGCTAGAGTATTAGTGGGTCGTTACTGTATTTATAGTTACATACTCGGTATATTTTTGTTTGTGAAGCATAGTGAAAAGGAAGACAAAGTTAGCCCTTGTCGCTATCATTCTTTTCCACTCCCATCACCATATTCATACCTGCCAACTCTCCCGAATTGTCGGGAGACTGCCGAATTTTGACCTAATCTCTCCTGATTGAAAGAACGATATCTGGAATCTCTGATAAAGTGGCCATCACAGCTGAGACATTCTTTTTAATCATGCGCGTATGTCATCCTTTCCTGCTGCGACGGTTGTGGTGCTGCTGAAGAGCACTCGCGACTACACTTCCAGTTCATTGTAACCATACTGTAGAGTACCACTATGTATATTCTAGGCACTATAGTACTGCGCCTTTGAGCAAAGGCCGGCGGCCGCGAGATGCACTCCCCACTGTACAGAAGGCAGGCGAGGGAAAAGGTACCGCAACTTGTGCATCTGTCTGTTTTGGCCCCCACTTTTCGCATGCTAGGCCTATGTGGCTTGCCTACACGTAGATTGTGTTCGTTACGTGGTTGTGGGGTTTGCGTGTTTCCCCGAGTTCAGTTGGGTGGTCGATGACATTGCGAAAAGCAAAGCACTTGCAAGTGTTCTGGACTCGTACACAGAGGTGTTTTCGTGCTTGGCGACTTCATGCAAAGGTGACAAGTGCAAATTTTGTACCGTGTGCGTGTGACCATTTCGTACGGCGGCAAGGCCGAGATAAAGCTGCACATCACTTTAGACACATTACAACTACGTTCGTGCTGCAGAAGGACAGGGCAACGTCAAGAGTTTTTTTTTTTTTTTCAAAAAAGCTGAGAAGACAGTGCGATCCACGTAGAATACCTAAATATTCACGAGATTTTTTGCAGAATGCAACTTGCTGCTAAGCGTTTGCCCACGCAGGACCATTTTTTCGGAAAATGTCTCCGAAGTAAGAGCACGGGAAGCTGTATGGGTGCAGACGTACGAGAACAACTGCCATTGTCGGCGAAATGGCTGCAGATGCTGAAAACGCAATGGTGGATGCTCTGAAATGCCTTATCTTCCACAACCGCAGTGGATAGAAGCAAGGACAGAGGGTCGCAAATGTCTCAGTGTCAGTCTCACTGATTGCCGATATCACCCCCTCCCCGCTGTGTTCTCCCAAAATTTCATGCTCCTAGGTTGGCACGTATGCATATTAATTCTCTGGGAATGTGGTATCTTCCTTCTTTTTCTTGTCTCATGTTATGTGGACTTTAGTACAAGAACCTGGCGTTATCTGTTCTGAGCAGTGCACAAAGGAATCAACTGTTCTAGCTTCTTACACATACCATATTTGCTTGCATAATTTTTGCACTTGTTTTGCAATTTTGAAGCTCCAAAATGGGGGTGCACAAATTATCGTATTTTTATGCGAAATGAACACACTCGCATAATAAACGCACCCAAACTTCATTCGTCAAAATGTGAATTTTTTTTCCTGCATAATAAATGCACCCATTACATTCGCCCGCTGCTGTCCCGCTAACCGACATCTGGCACCTCCTTTTCCATTGAATCTCTTTTATTGCGATAGCAATTATATGGACACGTTCTGCTGGATTTTGCCACCGTCATTGACGTTGATGAACGCCATCTTTCACATATTTGAATACGTATTTATATATATATGAAACCGCAAGAAATAAATATAATCCAGACGAAAACCCCGGCGCGCAAGAAGTGAACGTCCGACCTCTTGCTTGTGAGTGTGTGGCCTTAGCCCCTGAGCCACAAAGGAGCACCTCCTTCAACGTTGAAATGGCAAGCTATTTGTATCTACCACTTACTGCTGTATATGCCGATTTCGGGGGTACGTTTGTGTTTTCAGCATTACCAGCGAGATGACGCAATGAGCATGTGTCTCCAGATCGACACGGCACTGCGACACGTGCTGCTGATGTGTTCATCTCCCATGTGTACTTAGTCCCGCAGAGAATGGGGGGGGGGGGGTAGACGCACACATGTGCGTGGGCTTATTTCGTGGTGGGGAGAATCGTAAGCCTTTGGCTTTCGCCAGAACAATTCTGTTGTAGTTTCCAGGCGCACAAAGGTCCCTGCAATCGCTTC